AGTACTTATATTAAAAGATGAATAATTTAATATTAAAATAATAATTGATCTTATTATGTGAATTTAATTTAAAATTGATATTATTTGTTACTTGATGTCGATGTTGCTAAAAAAAAAAAAAAAAAAAAAAGTTTTTTTTTTTTTTTATTTTATAAAAAATGTTTAAAGTTAAAGTTTCTTGTGAATTCACATGAAAGGTCACTATGTCATTTAATTTTGTTTTAAATAAAAGCACTTTTTTTTTTTTTTACATAAATAATTACAGTAATATTTTTTTTTTTATGTATTACTTTTTTTAAATGTTTAATAATAATTTCTTCAAAAAGTTAATTATAGAAAAAAAAAAAATATCTTAAAATTTCAAATTGTTTTAAATTTATTATTATTATTATTAGATTAAAAGTAATTTTTTTAAACAAAAATAAATAAATAATGTTATAAGTTGACGATTAATATAACTTATTTTTTTTATTTCAAATATTTGATTTTTACATTGTTTACAGTCAAATTTAAAAAAATAAATAAATAAACCAAAGACACAGAAAAAGAAACCAAATTATAATAGCAAAAACATATAAATTGTTTTATTTATTATTTGTAATAATAATAAAAAAAAAAAAAAAAAAACAGTTCAACATTTGACGATTTTATTTATGTCAACAAAAAAATATATTTTTGACAAAGCATATTTTACTGCCCGAATTATCAATACGCAAAATTTTCGATAAATATATTATTAAGCCGAGTTAGCTAAATATTTTATCACCGAGGACAAATTTTTTTTTTAATTTTAAATATTAATAACAAGGATTGTTTACTTTTCAAGTCATAAAACTAACCTTAGATTAGTAAATAATAATTGATAACCCAACAAACGTTCAAAAAAAAAAAAAAGAATTAATAATTACTAATTACATTAATAACTATTATAAAAAATAAATCGCATTAAAAATTAAAATATTTAAATAAGAAAAAAAAAAAATTTGTTTTTTTTTATTACTAAGAAAAAAATAATAATAATGTTGCTAACATATGTTCCGTTACAAAACAGAAAACATTCAGTGATGTTAATGAATTTTTTAGGTTGGCCAACTTGATTTTCAGATTCGCCATCTTATTTTCTTCACGTACGCTTAATGGGCAAAGTTAAATTAACAGGAATTTAATTTTAAATGGCAGATTCTTTTTTTGATTTTAATACTTCATTAACGGTAAGTGATTTAAATATAGAAATTAATTTTTTTTGTATTAAATTATTTATATTATTTTAATAAATTTTTATTTAAATTTTATTTAAAGTGTGTGTGTATGTGTTGACCAACAATTATATAAATCTTGTAACATTGTCCTAGTTTTATACTGCCAGTTTACTATTGTCAAATTTTTTATTTCATATATATATATATAATTAAAAAAATTTAAGTTTTTTTTTTTTAATTTACGTAATTATTTAATCTTGAAATTAATTTATTTTTTTGGATGTTTAAAAAAAATTTCTTTATTCAGTTTATGTTGATGAAATGTTATTATTATTATTATTATTTTTTTTTTAATTATATACCATATTTATTTTTTTTTACCTCTTAATTTATTTTAAATTTTAAGTTTTTTATTAAAATATGTGGATTTGAAGGATTATTGTAATATTACCACATGAGCTTAGATGACTTTTACAATATTAAATAATTTTTTTTTTTTGTTAGACTCTAGAATTAGTTGAAGAACCTGAATTAGATGAGGAAGAAGAATATGATGCTCTTAACGATGAAACATTCGGAACAGAGGCTTTTCGTAAGTTTATTAAATTTCATTTTTATCTTACTGATAATAAATTTTATCGCTATTATCTAATTTTGTATAGTTTCTAATTCTTTTTTTTTTTTTTTCTCCATATGAAAATGCATTTTAATTCACAAGACTGATTTTGAATAAATAGTTTTTGCTTATAATTTATTTTTAATTAAAATTATTATATGCAGAGGGTGATTGGGAAGAAGATCATACTAGGTTTGCTGAAGTAGCAGAAAATTCTAGAACTTATAGGCATAGTTACAATTCTGATAAAGATGATGATCTGGACTTGGAGGCTAACTTGTCTCAATTGGTTTTGGAAAGTGAGGAAGAAGGTGAAGATGAAACAATAGATAATAATGCCAAAAATAAAACGTCAAAACCAATGGTAAGTTTTCATCAATTTTTAATTTACTCATTTAATTTGTAAAATCGATTAATGCATTTTTTAAAATTTAGTATAATTTACAACAACAAAAAAAAAACTTCAAAGTAAATTTTATATTTTATAAAATGATGATGACGACTTGTATTGTTTTTTAAAAACATTAAATGTAATTAATTATATTTGATAATATGAATAATTAAATAGTGTCAAAAACGAAATTTGTAAAATAATTTTAGTACTAATCTAATAATAATGTTTGCAGAATGTCTTTAATAGGTTTTCATTTGATTGTATTGGCGATTATAATCCATCTACTTGGGGTGGTTACCCTGACTCGCTGACATCTAAATTATTTAATCCGGAAAAAGAACAAATTTTACCTCAAATTCAACCCAAGGGTTCAGTGACACAATTCTTGCCACCGCAATTATCTAAAATTCCAGTGTGTAGTTTTTTCTTTTTTTTTTCATAAAATAAAATAAAGAAATATTTATTTTTTTGATTTTTAACATGATGATTAATTTTTTTCAGACTGTACAAGAGTTGGAAAGAGATTTAATGCAAAAAAATAAGCAAAAATTGAAAAATCAAGAAAAAAAAGATTTTATTCAGTTGTTTCAAGATAAAAATAATTATTCCACTGCACCTAATAATACAAATAATCAAACCTCAGATATAAGTATTCAAGTTCAAAATTTACTTACCAGGCGCCACAATTCTGTATCGAAATTTTCTCAATCTTCAGTAAACAAATATCCACCGGGATTCGGACCTCCACAGCAGGGCCACTTTAATCCTCCTCAGCAACAGGTAAAAAAAAAAAAAAAAATTTTAAACCTTTTATTATTTTATTATTATTAAATTTCATATATAAATAACTTTACTTTTTAGGAAATGGTCATGCTTAAAAGCAACCAAAATATGCCTTTGCCAATGGAACCCTTAATACTTCCTCCACACATGCCAATGCTTTATCCACCTCCAATGTTTCCCCCAACTCCTCATCCTTTACTCTTATCGCAAAATCAAAGAATGGCAAAGCCTCATCCAATAATGCGATTATTGCCAACTCATCCACTTTTAATGCAACAACAACAACAACAACAACAGCATCAGCAGCAGCATCATCATCAACAACAATTTTTTCATCAACATTATCAAAAACAGCAAAATCATCAAAAACAATTACAAACAAAGCAACAGGTAAACAATTTGACTCTTTTTTTTTTTTTTTTTTTGTTTTGTCATTTTTAAAAAAATGTTTATTTGTTACTTTATTAAATTTATTTATTTTGTCGTAGAATCAAGATCATATGAGAAATGGTAAAGCATCACAAAACCATGTTAACAACTCTCATTATCATCATCCATGGATGCATAATCCCAATAGGTAAATCTTGACTCTCAATTATTTTTATTATAATCATAATAATAATTTTATAATAATGATTTTTTTTTTTTTTGTTTTTTTCTTCTTCTTCTTCAGAAAGGGAAATGGAGATCATGATGAATATGCTGGTATAATGAACAATAAAGAAAGGCAGTGGTTATTAAATATACAAATTATTCAATTGGCCATAGAAAAACCTTATGTCGACGATTATTATTACACGGTAATTATTATTTTATAATTTTTTCCAATTGTAAACTTTTGATGCAAATTTATATATATATATATATAATTTTTTTTAAGGTATGGTCTAAAAAGCAAGAAAGTAAAAAAAAAAAAAATGAAACGAAAAACGGTTATAGAAATGATAGACAATACAGGGAGTCTTTTTTCGCAAATAGAAATCATAATAAAAACGATGTTAATAATAGAGAGAGAAAAAATTCGGATCGTGACGTCACGCCAACTTTTTCTCCAAAAGTTTATGTTCCCCTTCAGTTTGAAAATTCACTTGGTAAACTACAGGTAGGGTACCCAACCTTTAATTATTATTATTATTTTGTTAACAATAAATAACAAGAGTTTGTAAAATTATTTATTTATTAACGGTTTTTTTTTTTAGTGTGGAAGTGTCACAGCACCTAGAAAAATAATAGATTTAGATGTTGTTCCAGAGCGACAAGTTCAGTCGCCTCCAGTTACTAATCATCGCGATTCTAAAAAAACAAAAAAAATTTTATTAGAATTAGAAACGGTAAATAATAAATAAATAAATAATAATGAGTTTATTTTTTTTTCGAAAAGATTTAGAATAATTTAAATTTAAATTTAAATTTTTTTTTTTATAGTTATGTTTACTGGCAATGGATGTAGATGATTTAGATAGGAATGTTATACCGGAAACTATACTCTCTAATGAAAAAACGGCACCAAACAAATCTAAATTATTGGAACAAATTATGACTGGGTATTTAAACGAGGATAGATTTGTTAATTTTATGTGTATTAAAAAAGGAAAGGTGATTATTATTATTATTTAAAAAAAAAAAAAAAGGAGAAGAAGAAGAAAGAAAAGAAAAAGAAGTTAATTAATAATCTTTTGAATCGTTTCAGACATTATTATTAAGAGTTCTTTCACATTTAAATAATAAAAATCATAGCGAACATTTAACTAATTTATGGTGTCGATTTTTCAAATCAATTTCCGTTATTATTCGTAAAGATCAAAATGACGGAATTCTTTTACAGTAAGTCATTTAACTGGTACACGACATTTGTTTTTTATTAAGAGTTAATTAAATTTAAATTTTTTTTTTCTCTCTCCAGAATTTTCCCTTATTTTAAACAATGGATCAACACAGTAGACTGTGGAGTTTTATCAATAATAGCATCGTATTTACTCATCGCAAATGTTCCGAGTCAAATGAAAAAATCATCGAGAGCCGTTTCTCCAAATCCTGGAAAAAGCGTGCTGTCGTATATATTAACGACAACGGTGAGTTTAACCCTTGATTCCTCCTCCCGGGATTTCCAACGAACGAAAAAAGTTAATATTTCTTATTTGTCGAGTTAAGCGCATTTATTCCAGGTTTCTACCCTGGAGGATTCCCTAGGGATGAATGCTCGGGTGCTATTTATAGAGTATTTTCCGAAGAATGTGGGCCGTCCCACACAGTGCGATTTCCTGGATAATTTCTTCCTCTTTTAGGTTCTTTAAAATATTGTTTAAATTTTCTTTTATTGAATGTGGTGGCATGGCTCCCAGTGCTGCTCCCACGATGACCGGAATCGTTTCTGTTTTCCTGTACCCCCCCACATCCTGGCTATTACAATTTCCAAATTTTTATATTATTATTATTATAATTACAGTTTGGAGTGAGTGCAGTGTCGAGTTTATTATATCGCGGGGAATCAATGTATCCACTATTAGAAGATAAACAAAAACAAGACTGGACGAGTTTTTTATTAAATTTTATTAAGCATTTGATTAATTTTCCAAATATCGACAGCGTGAGTATTAAGAAAAACAATGAGGGAGTAGGAGGAGAGAGGAGGGGAGGAGGAGTAAATAAACAATAGTTTAATTTCCATTACAGATACCTGCTCCTATGGATCCACTACCCGGAAACATAATTTCAGTTATATTAAACAGAAGCACAGGACTTCAAATTCAAGAATATGCATCAGCGAAAAGAATATTGACGGCCTTTAATAAAGACAAATCGCGTTCCTGAAAACAAAACAAAAAAAACAAAAAAAAAAAAAAAAAAAAACAAACCGAGTAATAATTTAATAATTGATGAAACGTGTGTACATTTTTTTTAAACAAAAGAAAATTTTCGAAAAATAATAATTGTAATATTATAAATAACAATAATAATAATAATAATAATAATAATAATAGTTAAATCGGGAAAATTTCCTTTTTTTCACTCTTTACGTCATCAGGTTCCTTTTTAAATTTTTTTTTTTTTTGGCTTTTTTGCTATAATTCACGCTCTTTATTGTATTATATTTATTTTTAAACTATAATTAGTTTTTATTACGTCACAACAACAACAACAACAATAATAATAATGTAAATATAAATTTTTTTAAAACTCATCGATCTCGTTGATATTAATATCAATGATAAATGACAAGTTTTGACTTGCGTTTGAAGAAATTCAATGAGTCTCTCCTAAATCAGGATGTAAAGGAAGGATAATTAAATGCTAATATTTAGCTTATAGGTATTCGCGCGAAATTTTTTTTTTCGTTTTGTTCAAGGTCTTGAACACCTGCACGATTCAGAGATTCTCTCAAATGGTTTTTATTTCTTTTCTGTCGCGCATCGACGAATGTTCTTTAAAAAAAAAAATTTTTTTTTTTGTCGTTTTTGAAACGTAATTAAAACGAATTCGTGATGGTGGTTGTAGTGGTGATTGTGATGATGATTAAGGGTGAGTTTC